GACCCCATGATAATTTAATCCTGCAAGAAGTATTGGCCTCACTGGATGGTTGGTTTTAAATCTTCACGAGGGAGGTGCTGACAACCGCGATCCAGCCCGCGCGAAGCCAAACCGCTTTCGTGCACAACGACTGTTACTTGAACCACCTATGAGGCTACAAGTAAGGGACTCAGGGACTACTAATGGATACTCAGGCTTGAGAAGGGGTTAAGCAAGTCAAGGGTCTAGGGATAAAGGAACATAACCTCTGCCAAAAAATATCTCTGGAGAGGGTAACGGGTACCGATGGGCTTCCTCACGTACCCCAGCCTCTTCATGCGGAGGCAGGCATGCTTGAAGGATGATCTCATGGCTAAGAGTACAAGGCTATAGAAACATCACCACCCATAAACGGAGTTTATAACCCCAGCTAAAACCAACCATGAACCATGAACCTCGAAGTGGCGCTTTAGGGCATTTGGGGGTTCAGGGCTCGGATTGCAACCAATTTCCACAACAAATGCTTTGTAAATCGAACCCTAAACCTCAGCCCGAAACCCTAAACCCTAAACCCTAACCCTACACCCTAAACCCTGAACCCTGAACCCTAAACCCAACTTACGCTTCAGCAGGGCAACAACAGAAGCTGCGGCTCAGGGTTTTGAACTCGCGTTTTCGGGGCTGACGATCACGAAGCAACTGGAAGTCTCATAGGTGGGAGGTTTATGGTTGGGGTACCAAGGGTTTGGGGTTTAGGGTTCGGGTTTGGGGTTTAGGGTTTAAGGTTTAGGGTTACAAGGGTTAGGGTGTAGAGTTTAAGGTTACAAGGGTTTAGGGTTCAGGGTCAAGGGTTACAAGGATTTGGGTTTAGAGTGTGGGCTTCGGGTTTAGGCTTGCAAGGGTTTAGGGCCCATTGGGGTATCAGTACTTCGAGCAGTTAGGGCCATTGTTGCAGCCATCTTACTTTCAGCCCTACTGCAACTTGGCTGCACTTAGGAGGGTAGCTAAAAATTAAACTTTTAGCTGCCTTATTAAGAAACCCAATAAACCCAAAAAGGCTAAAGATCTAAAGTTACAGTAAAGCACCACAAAGCTTACTTTCAGCCCTACTGCAAAACACCGTGCGCCCCGATGAAATTCCATGAGGCCTGGGAAGGGAAGGTTCCTTGTACCCTCAGGGTTTCGGGTTCGGGGTTTAGGGTTTGGGGTTTGGGGTTTGGGGTTTTGGGTTTGGGGTTTGGGGTTTGGGGTTTAGGGTTTAGGGTGTAGGGTTTAGGGTTTAGGGTTTAGGGTCCCCATGAACCCTTAAAGAAGGCTGGATCCCCCGCTGTGTTGTAGCTGATCTCATCTGGGGGGACCTTGCATCGAAACTTCTGATTGAGCCAGTGAGGGTTTAGGGCTTAGGGGTGTTCGGGTTTAGGGTTGTAGGGTCAATGTTTAGGGGAGTTAAGTGTTGGGGTGTAGGGGTTTATGGTCTTTGGGTTCAGGGACTAGGCGTTCAGCGGTTTAGGGGTTGGTTATCCTGTTGAAGCATCAATGCTTCTAGAGCCCCATATGTCCTCAACTGCTCTCAGGGCCGTTTTTGAGAGATTGCAGTTTTACCCCTCCCCCATATAAGTACAACTACTTTGCAAGACATAATTCCAGGAGCGGCCCTCTCATTCCAAACTCCGCAGCAATGATTCACAGACTGGACACTGACAAAAGCAGAGCTTCCTCTATACTCCCATTAGATCCGTAATAGACACATAACTCTGAATTCCCTTGATTCTGTATAAAACAAAGAACCCCCAAGGGGGCTGTAGTCCTAACTTGGACAGCCAGACCAGCACAATGCATATGCATACCCTATGGGCCTCCGCTTGTCGGCACCGTCCAAACTGTGTTCCAACCAGTTCTCTTTATTGCACCGCCCTAAACCCTAAGCCCTGAACACTAAACTCTAAAACATAGGAGCCCGATTCCGTGACCCAGAAGGGATTAACTGGTCAGGACCTCAAACCCTAAGCCCTAAACCCTAAACCCTCGAGCCCCCGGTGTATCCTAAACCCTCTACTACGGCCGTGCGGGGGCATCCCGGCAGCCTCGGGAGGGGTTCACACGAGGGAGACACAACCCTAAGGGGGTTTGTAAGGGATTCTCGCCCTTAAAGCGTTCTACCGGTGAACCTCGAACCCCCACACACCAAAAAAGGAGCTCAGAATGGGTCCTCGGATTGTTGCACCATGATCCATGGGTATGCGCCCCTCCACATGATCTTCACCCCCTAGACCATGCCCGGGATCCCAATTCCGAAGCCTTACTAGGTTGCCCAGTAAGCTAGGATGAAAAAGGGTGCCCCCGCAAAAAAGGGGTTTATAGGGGAACCGAGAGCCCCCAAAAAGGGAATAAGGGCACTACTGGGCATCCGAAGCCTTATATCCTGAACCCTCATCCCAAACCCACAAAGCTTCGTGCAAAGCCACAGAGCTGCTTGGAGTTGAGGTTCTAGGGTTTACAGGGTGTCGTTGAGGTTTGCAGCTACACCGTTTGGGCATGCGTGCTGTTGCGGTTTTGAGCTAAGGGAGCTGCACGTTGATTCTCCGCCGACTGCAAGAAGTGTGCAGCAAGCCTGTGGCACCCGGCGTCGGATGGTTTACTTATTAACCCAATAAAAAACTGTACTTATATATTCAGGGTCTATAAGGTCTACTTTGAAGGGTCATGGGTACCAGTAAGTAGGAGTTTAGGGATCCCCCCACGCCCCACTTACTGCTGCAACCAGTTCTATAGTCACCCTACCCACATGATACAGCTACACCCATGAACCTGCAGGTGGTGTACTACCCCTCGGTCCACCTAATTCAGGGGATTCAAGGTAAGCATGGGTGATTCAGGGTAAAACCCTGTAATAAAAGGGCAATGGTGTCAGGCAGCCAAGGGTGATTCAGTTTGGGGTTTAAAGGATTGAAGGGCTTCGGTTAGCCCTAAAACCCTAACCACCCTAAATCCCTCAAGCCGCAACGGCTTCAGGGCCTTAGTAACTTAGGGCTTTGGGGGCCTCCAATTGCCGTTTCGCTCCGCAGCACCTGGCGTTTGGCTGAGGGCTTCGGGGCTTTGAGGTTTCAGGGCTCAGCTTGGTTGGGGTTTTTGGGCTTGCAATCCGGTTTTAAACCCTAAACCCTAAACCCTAAACCCTGAATACCCATTTTGGGCTTGCAATCCGGTTTTGGGGTTTTTTGGGTTTCTTGGGTACGGAGGTCGAAATTTGGGCGCGGTCTCATAAGGGATCTGGTCTTCCCTCTCCGAGGCCCGAGCAAATGACGCAGTTGTGGTGGATGATGTTGACCTCGTGGCATACAAACTAGGGTTTAGGGTTTAGGGTTTAGGGTTTAGGGTTTAGGGTTTAGGGTGAAGGGTTAAGGATTCAGGGTTACCGACAAGCTTTGCATCCGTACTGAGCTTTGACAACCCTTCTGCGCGGACCTGCCCGCTGGACGGAGAGGACTAATTGAGACCAGCTGGAGATGCCTTGCCTAGCATGAAGCCTTTCAATCAAGGTCGTGTCCGAGACCCAGACCCCAAAATTCAACAGGACCCTTCGAAATGAGCGGCGAGTGGGCGCAAGACAGCCGAAACTAGAAGCAGTACAGCGAGCCTGAACCCTAACCCAGCAAAACCTCAAACTTACTAGTTCCTCGGCTAGCAACTCGAACTCCCAATCCCTTTAACTGGCCAGTGTCTTCGACCAACAACTCAACCTCCGGAAACCTGGACCTACACTCCCACATCCCGCCGAAGAAAAAAAACCATTCCCTGAGTCCTAAAACCCTAAACCCTAAACCCTAAACCCTAAACCCTAAACCCTAAACCCTAAACCCTAAACCCTAAACACAAAACCCCCAGCCCGAAACTGGCCTCCTGCCCCAGGGGCCGCAGCGCCGAGAGCAGCGCGGCCGCTGCCGCGGGCGCCCGCCGGCGGACCTAAGCAGAGTCACAGTCCACTTGAAGGTTCATGGTACTTACTAACCAATTATAACTGGGCTTATAACCCTACTTATAAGTGGGATAACCTCTATAAGGCCCTTTAGGGGTATTGTAATTAGGGTTATAAGTACAGTTATAATTGGTTAGTAAGTACCATGAACCTTCAAGCAGGGTTTATGTAGGGTTCGGGGTGTAGGGGTTCTAGGGTTATAGGGTTATAGGGCATATAGGGTTTTTTGGGTTCATAGGGTTTAGGGTGTAGGGGCCACCCTTGAACCCCCCGCCAAAGACGAGGGCACCCGAGAACCAGGAAGGCATGGTGCGAAGGGATTGAGTTGACTGCAGTTCCTTGCCATGTGGCGTGGGGAGTTTGGGGTTTAGGGTTTAGGGTTTAGGGTTCAGGGTTAAGGGTTTAGGGTTGGGAGTTTGGGCTTACGGTTCAGAGGGTTGCCCCCCCCCCCCCCCCCATCGGTCAGCTAGGAGTAGCAGGGGCACCCGTTCTTCTTGCAAGGACAACTAAGCCACAAAGATCTGAGGCTACCACTTTAAGGCTCCTGGCAGCAAGAATGCCTAGGTTGGCCCTTAAACCCTTTTGCACATTATTCATAAACAAGAGGGTTTAGGGTCTAGGGGTTTCGGGCTCCTCTTAAACCCACGACAGGGAGATCTATCCAAATTTCTACAATATCTCAAGCGACCTACCCCTAAACCGTATTTTACGCTGAACCCTCAACAGCCCGTGAGCCAAGGGAACTTGGCGTGCGCACGAATCGCTGCAGCAGCGTCGTGAGCATGGAAGGCCTGGCCAGGACTTGCGCGTTTCTGGATGTTAGCTTCGCCGCAATGTTCCGACTCAGTGGATCTCAGCATGCTGGCTCCCTAGACTGCCACTCGGCTCCGCAGCAACCTAGCAAGATTGATAGCCCCTTTTCTGACCAAGGAGCTTTATAACAAGAACGAACCCCTAAGGTATCACCGACAGTCCCCGAGTAGTCCCTGAAAAGCCCCTTAGTAGCACACAGCCGCTGGCTCCCTCTTTTCAGCAAGGGCGATGCTCACACGTGGACGAAGATGTAACCGTAGGTGCATTTCGGCTGCTCAATGCCGCCTGTGCGGTAGACGGTCTTGGTCTCCCATCTCCTCCCATGCTCCTCGTCCTTGCCAACCAAAACTTTGCAGATCTCTTGGCAGATGTAGCTGCCCGCATCTAACCTCGGCTGCCAAGTACCCAAAGGGTCCTAAGTACCTATATGAGGGACACTTACCCAAGCCATAATAGTAATTTCTACTATAGAAACCCTACTTTCTACTATGTAGGTACTTAGGACCCTTTGGGGTATGCACAGGAAAAGCTGGGCAGGGGCCTTTACTTGCGGCGCGTCGAAAAAAAGAGCCCGCCAGCTCCTTTTCGGGCACCGCGCATCTGAAGGTGCAGCTTTATTAATTACACCCTAAACCCTAAACCCTAAACCCTAAACCTTTCAAAGGGATCCTCTTGGAGCACAGAAGCGAGAACTTCGCGCTGGTCTTCTCGGGCTTGACAACCTGCTCATTGTACTTCCACTTGCCAGGCCTTGCTGAGCTGGGGTTTAGGGTTTAGGGTTTAGGGGTAGGGTTTAGGGTTTAGGGTTTAGGGTTTAGGGTTTAGGGTTTAGGGTTTAGGGTTTAGGGTTTAGGGTTTAGGGTTGAGGGTTGAGGGTTGAGGGTTGAGGGTTGAGGGTTTAGGGTTTAGGGTTTAGGGTTGAGGGTTTAGGGTTTAGGGTTTAGGGGTTGGGCTTGCGGGTTTAGGGGTTTCGGGTAAGCCTTTGGGTTTAAGAGGGCTGCCCATGAAAGCTTCACCGCCTGACCCATCCCTATGAGATGGAGTTTACCAATTCCCTTGCAGGGTTTAGGGTTTAGGGTTATTGGGGCACCTGCAGGCCCCTCATTCCCTGACCTTCTACTACTTGAAGGTGCGTTGGGTGGTTCGAAGTACGGTGACAAGCGCCCCCCAAAAAGGAATTATAACCATGACCGCCCTACTTGCAATACTCCAAACTCATCACTATGTACCCATGAAACCTGGAGCAATGAAGTAAACCCCAAACCCTAAACTCTACCCTCAGAAGCCTCTGAACCCTATAAACCCTGACCCTAAACCCTAAACCCTAAACCCTAAACCCTAAACCCTAAACCCTAAACCCTAAACCCTAAACCCTAAACCCTAAACCCTAAACCCTGAATCGACAGCCACTGGGTTTTGACTCAGGACCGGTGGCAGAGCCGTGCATTCGTCGAAGATCACATTGACGCCCCCGAAGTCCAGAAACTTCGAGCCGCTGCACTTGGGTGTGTTGCAGCAGTTCCTCGGGGCAAAATTGGGCGTGCTTCTACGGCTTTAAGGGGCTTTCAGGGAGGGGGGGGGGGGTCATCTTTTAGGGTTTATTGTTTTGGGTTTAGGGTGCTCAAGGTGAGTCGGCTGGGGGTGGGAGAGAGGGGGCGCAGCTCATTTAGAAAGTACGCAGCAGGAAGGCAGTTCAGGGTTTTGGGGCTTTTGGGAAGAATAGAGGGGGGGGGTGGGTGCTATATCATAGGGACAGGTACTATAACCCCTTCTAAGGAGCTGTGAATACAAGAGGGAGCATCCCAAGGTTCCAGTGTTTAAGGGCTTGAGTGGTGCCGAGTTTTCTCAAGGGCTGAGATCGTAGAGGATTGAAGACTTAGGGTCCGTAAACCTTACGAGCCCTGAGGGGCTTCAGGGCTTAAGGGCTTAGGAGGCATGAGGTTGACAACCTTGCATAGGATTTTTCAGGTTTAGGGTCCCTAAGCCCTAGAAACCCTGAGGAGTTTTGGGGCGTAAGGCTCTGGAGGGAAGATTGACAACCTAGGGTATGGCTTGGTAGCACAGTAACCATATTAGAACAAGGGTTCCTTTCTTGGGGTTGCTTTACTGCAAAAAGGGAATCTAGAAGTTCTATCTAGATTCAACAGAAAAAAAGAGGCGGAGAAGGGTACCGCTGGGCTACCAAGATGGTGTTCACGCAAAGTCTCCAGCAGCCTCCTTCTTCGCCATCTTTATGCTCCAGGCCATCTCCGGACCTTCTCTCAAAACCCTAAACTAGGTTGCCCAGTAACCTGGGATGAAAAAGGGTGCCCTTTTGTTGCTTAAAGGGGTTTATAGGGGAACCTGGAGCCACCAAAAAGGGAATAAGGGCACTACTGGGCATGCTAGTAAACCCTAAACCCCTAAACCCCTCAACCCCTAAACCCGAAACCCCTAAACCCCTAAACCCCTAAACCCCTAAACCCCTAAACCCCTAAACCCCTAAACCCCTCAACCCCTAAACCCCTAAGCGCCTAAACCCCCAAACCCCTAAACCGTAAACCCTCAACCCCTAAAAACCCCCGTCAGGATCAAAAGAGGGTGCCACGCCCTAAAAAGGGAGCCCCGTAGAAAATGTGACCTTAGGGGGTTTAGGGTTTAGGGTTTAGGGTTTAGGGTTTAGGGTTTAGGGTTTAGGGTCAGAGCTAGAACCACCTGTGTTTCCTTTCCTAACCTCTTGGGGTAGTTACATTGTCCCTGAATATGGGCCCTGACATGGCAACCCCCTTGTATACCGAAGGTATACCCTGTAAACGCCGAGGGCCCATACTTCAGAACCCTTTAAAGAAGGTAAGGGACCATGTAACTGCCCCAGCAAACACGCCCCCCACCCCAATCTTCTTGAGGGTTTAAGGTTTTGGGGCCGGGCACAACCTTAGGCCCTGGCTTCAACTGGCGTACCGCCAGGCCCTGTGCCAGCAGCAGTGGCAGCAGAATGGAGAGCATCGGTGGAATTCGCAGCCGTCAGAAGCAAGCTGAGCCAAAAGGGCTTTCAAGTTGTGATTGAAGGGGGCTCGACATTGCAGTGCAAGGTGGTGCAAAGCCTGCTGAGCACCCTAAATCAACCCCAAACCTATAACCTCCTAGAACACCATAACTCTGAAAGCCCAAACGGCCTACCTACAATCCGAATTCCCCAAAGCCCTAAACCACCCGAACACACCCAGAGTCCAACCATTCGGCCCCGGAAACCCCGTGACGGGCCTTGAGCGCCACCTGCAGCAGAGACGGTAGGGTTAGGATACACAGAAAGTCCATATGGTTCTTCATTCGAAACACATAAAACATCATAATTGCAGTTTCCAGGTAAGTTATTAACTTGGCTTTTGGGCTTAGGGTTTCGAGGGTTTAGGATTTTGGGGTCTCGGGTTCGGGTTTAAGGCTTGCTTTGTGGAATTAGGGTTTGATGGAATTAGGGTTTCAAGGATTAGGCTTTACATATGAAAGGGCCTGACAGGAGGCCTCCTTTTTCTTGCTGGCTCTTGATGAAAATGCCCGTCTCGTATGTAGACCGGAAGGACAGTGCTAGAATCGAGACCTCAGGAAAGGCACATGAAGAAGATCAGCCCTCAACCCTTATGTGAAGTAGGGTATATATTTCTTGTATCCCCAAAAGGACACCAGGTATACACACTCACCAATATTAAAAAGGAACCTTATATACACTCACCAAAAACAGAAATATAAACCCTGCTTCATGTAGCCCCCCGTAAAGGACAACGGCACTCCAAGCTCCCAGACTCCTTACTTGGCAGGTTCGTGTGTAGTTGGAATAAAGTGAGGGTTGCAAGTCCCTCATAACCGCGTTGTAGCCATAGTTTCCCTACTCGTGTCCTCAGCGATAGCTGCCCCATAATCCTCCAGGTATTAAGTGCAGTGACAGCAGTGATTAAGAAACCATTGGTTTAAGAAACGAGCAGGCTCGCGGCTGAACCCCCAAAAAAATGCGAAACATCAAGAATTCGAGCGATCAGCCTAGTGGATAAGGCGTCGCCTTACGAATTCAAGCATTACCAGTTCGAATCCCATTAAGAAATAGACAAAGAAATCAAGGGTACCCTCAAAATTGCGGAGGTTAGAACTCTGGAAATTGGGTGGGCTTCATAATTAAGAAATCCAGGGTACCCTCGCCAAAACTAGCCGGAGCCCCGAAACCCTAAGCCCTAAACACAGTGGGCTAAATCCACTTGGGGGTTTCGTGTTTGGTGGTCGCTGCAGCTACCAAGTGCGGTAAATAACCCTATTGGCTTTCCATAGCCGTAAATTGAACCCGGTAAGTAAGCCAAATCCCTGAACTCCAAACCCCAAGCCCTCTACACCCCGACTCTAAACCTCAAACCCAGCACCCCTACACTGAGGGTCGCGGCTGCTCGAGAAGCGGGCGCAGGAGCCTGGTTGTAGCCGCCTCCCCACTCTTCTGAGCTTGGTCGGTGGGGGGGGTGCTGAAAGTGTTGGGCAGTTCGTGCTTTACACCCTGCGCCGTAGCCCCCCCCTCCCCTCCTCAACCCGTCAAGAGAAGGACGATGGAAGGTAATAGATGTTATACACGCAATTCAGATCACTCTAAGCTCTAGCGGTGGAAATCTTTGGGATGCCTCTGGGCTTCGAGGGTTTGCGCCAGGTGCCTGCATATCCTAAATGGGTTTTTGGCTTACTTCAGGGTTTCCCCCAGCTTCTTGTTAAGGGCTTGAAGGCTTCAGTGCTTCGAGCTCGGTTCAAACACCGACGTCCCACTTCCGAGGCTGGCAGAAAGCAGGCTAGCTTCTTGGCTGCACTTAGGGGGGTAGCTAAAAATTAAAATTTTTAGCTGGCTTCTTAAGAAACCCAATAAGCCCAAAAAGGCTAAAGATGTAAAGTTACAGTAAAGCACCACCAAAGGTTTTTGCTGAAGGCTAAGGGTTTTGCATTGCGCATTTGAGGCTTCAGGCCCCCGAGGGCTTATGGAGATCCAGCCTCCAAACATGCCCGGAAACTTGTTTTCTCTCCCTCTGCCCCTAGACTCGACACTCCTATCTTGGGATGTTGTCCCTTCTACTAACACTCCTTCATAGGGATTATACTGGAGGGGGGGGGGGGGGGGGGGGGGGCTACGAAAATCCCTCGTGAGGACTGTTGGTAGAAGGGGGAGCATCCCGAGTATAAGGGCTCAAAGGGGTTAAAGGGTCCTAAGGGTCCTGATTAGTAACTCCTGCACTCGTGCTAGGTTCCACAGTCTTGGCCGCAATTCTGGAAGACCCGGATCACCCCTTGACAGACAGAGAGAGAGGGAGAGAGAGAGAGAGAGAGAGAGAGCGAGAGAGAGAGAGAGAGAGAAAGACAGACAGAAAGAAAGAAAGAAAGAATCAAAGAAAGAAAGAATGACAGAAATAATGAAAGAAGGAAGGACATAAAAAACAAAAAAAACAAAAACAACAAGGAAAAGAAGGACATAAATGACGACACAAAGAAAGAATGAAAGAAAGCGAGAGAGAGAGAGAGAGAGAGAGAGAGAGAGAGCAAGAAAGAAAGACAGAAGGACAGACATAAGTGAAGAAATGAAAAACAAAAGGCGGAACGAACGACAGAAAGAGAGACATAAAGAAGGACATGACAAGGGTATCACTGGAGGTCCTAGACAGCTCTTTCTCCCGGGCGGCTCAATCCATTTCGTGCTGAGTGGCCCGAGGATCTCACTTGGCTGCGCTTTCATGAACTTCATGAAGATAGAACCTAATGGGGCTATAATAGCACCCCAAAACCTATAGAACGTATGTATGTATGTATGCATGCATGCATGTATGTATGTATGTACGCATGTATGCATACATATCAACATACTGATGAGAATAATAGAATAACATGCGCAACAATGACATTGCTACTGTCATGTAAGTGAATATAGCATAATATGCAGCACTTCAGGTTGGGGGCTCAGTGTTGTGCAAACACCTTGGGCTCACAGCCCTGGGCTTTGTAGGTTGCCGTCCCGTTGTCTGCGTCCCTAAACCCTAAACACTAAACCCTAAACCCTAAACCCTGAACCCTAAACCCTGAACCCTAAACCCTAAACCCTGCACAGCTGCCAAGGTCCACTTCGGCCCCACCCAGGGAAGGGAACCCTAGAGTTGCTCTTGGGGCAGATCTCAGAAGGAAGCCATCGCTGGGGCTTTCGCAAGCACTGAAAGAAGCGCTTTGAGGCGCTTTGAAGCTCGAAGAGGACCATAAGTTAGGAATATGGGGGGTTTTACCGAACATGGGGTGGGGTACTCCCTTTTTGGGGGTCCCTTTAAGTGGATGCTATTCTATTTGGGGTATAAACGGGGTAGCCCCCCCCCCCCCCCCCCCCCCCCCCAATTTGGGAAATACCCATATTTTGCCAGAGGACAGGCTCAAGAGTCTGATGCTGAGATGTGCCCCATGTCCGACTCGTTACATGTGGAGTCACCGCAAAGAGCATGCCGCTGTGCCGTCGTGGGCCGGCTTCCCCCCCCCCCCCCCCCCCTCCCGCCCAAAAAAAATGAATCAATAATACTCTGGCCCTAAACCCTTACCCCTAAACCCTAACCCTAAGGCTGAAACCTTATAAACCCAAAACCCTATAAACCCTGAGCCCTAGATAACCCCATACCCACCCGAATGGGAAGAGAAACCCAAACTGGGACCCTAATCTAGGGAACCCTCAACCCAAACCCCCTCCATAGCTTTTGAAGCCTAGCATTTGGATTGTTCACCCTTATACTAACACTCCTTAAAAGGGATTATAATTTACGGGGTACTATAACCCCTAGGTATAAGGGGGAACACCCCATTTGAAACCCTAAACCCTAAACCCTAAGCCCTAAGCCCTAAGCCCTAAGCCCTAAACCCTAAACCCCCTTTAAAGGGGGAACGCCCCAACCGATCATCTCACTCAAGGTGGGCTTGCGCTCAGGCCCACTTCGCAGCTGCGGAAGACGCCCTGGACGAGCCTGCACAGCTAGGGTTTAGGGCTTAGGGCTTAGGGCTTAGGGTTTAGGAGTTTAGGGTTTAGGGTTTGGGGCTTAGGGTTTAGGAGTTTAGGGTTTAGGGTTTATAGGGTTTAGGGTTCAGGGATAACAGGTAACCACCAATCATCCCGATGTAATGTTTATATGGGGGTTTCCGAAATTAGGGGCACCTTATTGGGGTCCTCTTCTTATAAGGGAAGCCTACTAGTTGGGCGTCTATACTTCTCGTAAGCCCCCACATACTATGAACTACCCAGGATACAACATTTTAATCAAAGAGGCACCAAAGTTTGCGCGGAAGGCGTGGCAGAGATCGAATCAAAGTGCGTGCGGTCACGGGGAACAGCAAAGACTCTGTGTAGATTAACGAAAAGGGTCCCCTTTGTTGCTTAACATTCCTGAGGTTTGTATGGGCTCCCAAGCAACCCCTGAAAAAGCAGTAAGGGTACTACCCTGCTAGGACTGGTGTTTTTTGCGTTGAACACCTAGTACTATCCGTAATGACAGTCGACTCAGTCGACAACTCTTCGAGAACAGCCTCCGCGCTTGGTGACCTCCATTAGCCTTGGCACTGCGGAAAGGTTCAGCGACCACTTCAGCGAATGCGATCGGGGCGTGTGGGCTTGGGACACTTTTGGGTTAAACCCGCTAAATCACACTAGGCAAGAGAGCCCGGAGTGAAGATCCCTCAACCCCCCAACCCCGCCCTCTCTTCTCCCACCCCCCCCCCCCCCCCCCCCACAAAAAAAAAAAAAAACTAACATAAAGGAAAACACTGGCTGCGGTTTTCATACCGCCGAAAGAAAAGCAAGATGCAAAAGCGTCTTCACCCTCCACCTGGAATGAAGGAACTTTAGGGTTAAGGGCCATGAACTCAGGAGTAGCTCAGTTCGTATTGGGATCCCTGTTCTAATTTTGCGGCACCCTCATGAACTTACTTGGTCGGGTCTGCTCCCTCACCTAAGTGGCCAAATTGCACCT